TTTGAAATAAGTTTTCTACAGGTTCAGCCAAACTTGCAAACCAAATGTTTGTATCTATACAGGAATTTAGTAAGGTTTGAGTAATTTGTGGTAACGAAATCCCTGGCTTAATAATTTACATGTAATGCATAGATTACGCTCATTGAAATCCAAAACGTCACTACATCAACGGGCATAGCGAACGAGTTGGGATATATAAACACCGTACTACGGTGCTAAAGGAACATCACCGTTCAAAAAAGGAAAATTAACAATAAGGAAAGTAAAATCCTCCATTTTGTCTTAAGTCTATGGTTTCTGGTTTAAAACTGAAATATCTAAATTTAGAAAAGGACAGTTATTGCTGTTAATATTTGATTCATTTAAGGATAGTTCTTTTGGGTAAATTTCAGCAGTATATTTAGAGAATTCTAGATTATTTAACGAAAAAATATCATCAAGATAACGGTAAGTGTTATTGAATTTATCAATTAAATGGATATAAGACGGGTCTTTACTGAGTTTGATCATAAACTGTGAATCATAACAAGACAGGAACAAGTCTTTAATTAAATGGGCACAATTGGTGCTCATAGGAATACCTACAACCTGTCGTTTAACTTTATTGTTGAAACGTACATAAACGTTAGCAAGGCGAAAATTATTTCTGCTTTTCAATTGTGAAAGTTCCATTTCTATGTAGCAACATTTTAGCAGCGAACAGGAAAGGTATTAAACAAAAAGTTCCAAAAGATGAAGTTGAAATCATCCTTTCGAACATTTTACGGACGCCATCACGAATTGGTTGACCGTTATGGAATATCTGTTTTACAGATGACGACGGATATGTTCCAATTATAGTAACCCCAATACCGTCCTCTTTTTTTCGAATGTGACCTACTGAATTGGACTTATCACCGGTATTGTACTTACATGAGTAACACGACGGATGATACATACGGAGCAGGACCTGCCTACCCTTACGAAGCAACTGAGATCACCCGATTGTTGATGGGGTTTGTGTTGCTCAGTCTTTTGTTTTCTATGTGATGTTTTGTATACTGTTGTTTGTCTCGTGGTCTTTTTCGTTTTTTTACATGGCGTTGTCAGTTTATTTTCGACTTATGAGTTTGAATGTCCCTTTCATATCGTTCGCCTCTCTCCATAGGAATACTGTGATTATTTATAAAACGAAATGTGCTCTAAATGTTCATTAGTGATGAATGCATCTTAAGTCTCAATTTCATAAAACGATTACATAAAAATCATCTAAATAGACTGCAGATGATAAAAACATGAAAAATCGGGCGCACAATTTGGTAATATACGAAAGGACACAGAATATCTATTAATACATTATTTTTTCCTACTCCTAAGGGATCTGTTCGCCATTTTTTATTTCTAAACCCAAAGACTTTTTTCAAAGAAAAAAAAAGAGAGGGTACATGTTAACCGTCCCACTCCGCTAGCAAAACAGACATCAGAACTGTTATAATCTTTGTAGCTCACAATATAAAGCCCTGTACGTGTAAATGCTAGAAAAAAATGTCTGATCCTGCTCAATGGTGAAAGATATTATCCGGCAGTCAATAGTACATTTACGCAACAATTTTAAACATAATGATAAGTAAAGGTTTCCCTTTTTGTATTGATGATCATTAAAACAAAATCAATATTTCGTTCCTCTAATTTTTCGCTTGCACGATACCTATAGATGAAGGTTACCTACTCCATAATCCTTATCATACGCATACTGAATATGTTTAATTATTTTTTTTATGTGTGTGTATGTATGTTTCTCTAATTCTTAGCTGATTAATCCCTTTTCCTGACCTGTTGATCATTTCTTTGCAACCAACATGTGGTTTGTTTGACCTCAGTTCTTCATTGGTCAAAATACAGTTATGACGTCAAACGTTCTTGCGTTCCTCTAAATTTCCTATTGTGACGTCAAGAAAAAAGACGACTATGTCTGATGACGTTACATAGAAAGAACACATCTTTTTGCAGATCATTGGAAAAGAGGATAACTTTTGTCTGCACATCGTCTAAAAATCATCAGAGAAACAGATTCAACCACCAAATCTCGTACGATACGATATTTCTCAACTCTCGACAGTTTCAAAATTGAAAATTTAACTCTCTCGAGTGTAGAAATATCGTATTGCACTCGTCAAATGATAGCCTATTGTACGCTGATTCCAAAAATATATGGTTTCTATACATTTTTTTTTAAATAAGGGAGATAATTTGTCACTTCCGGTCTGAAAAATGTTACTTCCGGTATAATTTGAATGTTTACTTGACACTGATTCCAAAAATATATTCTTTTATTTAAATAAGTACAAAAAATCGCTACTTCCGGTTTAAACAAGGTCACTTCCGGTTGGATTTTCCAAGGTCAAATGGCTTGCAACCTAATGCAAAAAGTCCCATTGCTTTATCATTTTACATATGAGGTAAAAGCAAAGGTCAAAATCTAGAACGTCAAATTTACCTATGACCGTGAGCTCAATTTCAAGGTCATTAACCAAGGACCTCAAATTAAAAGACCCTAGGTCTTAATTATATATGGTTAATGAGTTACAGCCCTTGGATGGTGTAAACTTCCCAAAAAAACGTGTATGGTGTAATGGTGTATGGCATATGGTGCAATGGTAGAAGGTGTATGGTGCTATGGTGTATGGTGTAAGGGGAATCGTGTAGTGGTGTATGGGGAATGGTGTGATTGTGTAACGTGCGATCGGGAATGGTATGGATGAATGGTGTACGACATTTCATTGGTTGAAACTGAAGTTCATTTTATTTTAATTTTTCGGATTGTAAACATAAACAATAATAATAATCTTATTGTTCTTTTTTCTCAGTATAACTTTACTCGTTAGACTCTATATGTTATAGATATTATGCACATATTAAAAAATCTTTTTTTTTCATATTCTTATTTACATTAAACAATGGCTATAAAATTACACACTTGTGATCACATGCAGTTATCATAAAAGAAAGGATTTTTTTTAAACTAGAAGGCGGATAGAAAGGTTATCCACGCATCGGAACAATATTTTTATATCATGGGTTATCAACATCATTTATAACGTTGCTTCGTCCCCCATTTTTGACAGTCTCTTTATAAATATTCATCGTAATTCACCTTTGTTTGCTTTGGATTTACGATTCTGTTTTCCAAAAAATGTCCAAAGGAAAATTGTACAGTGTTATTGCACATAAGGTGTTGTATAATTATGAACAACCTCGTCAATTTCGTTAGATTTGTCTTTACGGAATATACTTTTCCTGAACTACTGAGTTTAAATCATCACACCTCAGCAAGCACGACTAATTTATGCGCAGACCAACCCATCACACAATAGCCCAAAAGGAATCTGTGACGTACCCATCCATATTCAGAAGTGGGAAATACAGATACTGATACTGACTTTAGTGACAGTTTTATATTACAAATACAGAGATGAAATGCTGGCACTCTAAATTAAAGTGGACAAGATTTTGTAGTCAATATTTATGTCATATGTATTATATAAGCTATCCTAACACCAAAATATTATTGCATTATAATGCGGCTATATATATTTACATAATAAAGTGCAAATATGGTCAGTTTTGTTTGATGCTGTTGAATAATTTTGTTATATGAGTCATCCTGAGGTATTAAAATTACTGAAATTTTGTTGCGAGACCATATTTTGAAAAAAAAAAGAGGACATGCTGGCTATCTTGATTGATGGGGACAAATTTTTTGTTTTCATTGTATTGCACTGTTGCTGTCATTTTTATTATACAATCCATCTTGACATCAAAATATAGCGGATTTACTATGCGGCTACATAGATTTACATAATAAAGTGCAAATATGGTCAGTTTTGGTTGATGCGTTAAAATGATTTTGTTATACGAGCCAGCCTGAGGTATCAAAACTACTGAAATTTTGTTGCGAGACAATATTTTGTATTAAAAGAGGACATGCTGGCTATCTAGATTAATGGGGACAATTTTTTGTTGTCATTTGTGTTGCAATGTTGCTGTCATTTCTCTTTTACAATCCATTCTGACAATAAAATATAGCTGATTTACTATGTGGCATAGATATACATAATAAAGTGCAAATATGGTCAGTTTTGGTTGATGCGTTAAAATAATTTTGTTATATGATTCATCCTGAGGTATCAAAATTACATAAATTTTGTTGCGAGACTATACGCGTATTTTTAGATACAAGAGAGGAGAAAACTCTAATTTAATGTTAGCGCACTCTTTAAACCAAAATGAATGTGTTACCACATGTCGCAACTAACAATTTAGTAATAATATGTTGTCGATATCTTATACGGTTTTTGAAAAGAAGTGAAAATAAACCAAAATCAAAATTTCGAATATGACCTTGACCTTTGACCTTGACCAAATTTTCTTTTTTTTTTTGGACCAAGGACCCCAAATTAAAAGACCCTATGTCTCTATCACTAATGGTTTACCAGTTAGAAATGCATATCACTTATATCAAATGCATTAGGGGAAATAACTCACATATTGAGTGTTAATATGGCTTCGGTCAAAATTGAACAAATCATGCGAAGGATATAACGAGCAATTTTATAAAATAAATTTGTCGCTTTCTTATACGGTTACGGAGGAGATGCAGTCACAAGGAAAACAGTGTTCGGGGAGATAACACCTACAAAGAAAAGTATTCGGTTATGCAGGGTGAATTTCAAAGGCGCATAAACTGTTCGATATCATATACCAAACATCTAAGCGACATCTTGCGAAACAAAATGTATACGCAAGAAATAAAAGTGGCGGGAAAAGAAAAAGAAAAAAATAATCAGAACAAATACAATAGATCTTTCCATCGAAAAGTGGAAAGACCTAATGATGGGTTGCTATGGAAACGGTGTTACCTATTTTTTTTATACAATGGCCTCCTGAGAAAGAACACAAAAATTGCAATTCTGACCAATTTAATTGACATAATATAGTATAATATTTACAATAAAGTGGAATATGCTGTAATTTATCTTAAAGTACTGTATTTTAAGTTTCATATCATATAGAAAACTATTCATAATAATAATTCTGCATAATTCAAAACAACACTTTATTTATCCAAAGTTTGGCATTTTACCAAATCAAGAAAATTCCCTTTGGGAGCCAATTTTGAATAGAATTTTTTTACCTTTGCACACTGATTTGAAATTAAACTAATGGTAATATATGTAGAAGATATATAGTTGGATAACCCCCCCCCCCCCCAAAAAAAAAATTGTGGGAAATTCCATGACCTTTATGTACATTGTCCTTGCTACATACCAAGTTTCGTCAACCTCAGTTCAGTAGTTTAAGAAGAGTTGCGCTGACAAATTAATTAATGATGATTTTTGGCAAATTTCTAAGTTCAAAGGGGCATAACTTCAACAGAAATTAGCGGATCAAAATTCCCGGTAGTATGCACAACTACATATGATTTCCTTGCTACATAACAAGTTTCCTATTCGGTTCAGTAGTTTAAGAGGAGTTGCGATGACAAACTAGTTTATGACTATTTTTGAAAAATGTCTAAGTTCAAAGGGGCATAACTTCCACAAAAATTAACGGATCAAAATTTCCTGTTAACATGCACAACTACATATGGTGTTCTTGCTACATACCAAGTTTCATCATAAAATTCGGTTTAGTAGTTGAAGAGGAGTTGCGCTGAGAAACTTTGTGACGGACAGACGAATAAGCCAAAAACAATATGTCTCCCCACCAAACTGGTGGATGGGGAGGGGAGAGACATAATGTATAAATTTCGGGGTTAAGTTTTTTATATCTTTCAGTGCCACTTCCCTGCCTAAAAATCAAGGTAGTTAGCCTACCAGGGTTATGTCATGATCAAGGTTGTGTATTTGATGCATAGGTGTTATAAAAGATATACTGGAAATTCAGAAATTATTGGAATGTTTTTATTAATGCGAAAAATGTGAAAAATGTCAGAATCAGGTTTGCAATTACCTAAATGCGCATTCACATTTTCAGTGGCGATTTTCCTTCACAAAAAAAATTTCAATCGCATTAATAAGAGATCACTGGTCAGGGATTTGCAATAATAAATACACTCATTACTTTCTGAATTTACAGTTACTAGAAATATTAAAAAAAATAAAGTATTTCAAAAATACTTATAAAACACAGATATTTCACTATGAACCTGTTCATCTTATTCTAAAATTATAGAAAACATTCTTTCAAAACGTTCCTTTTCAAAACCGAACATTTACTGTCTGCAGTTGCAGCTATTAAATCTGTTTCATCTATCTACTTTTCTTTTTGCACAAGTCTTGAGAAATAGCTAGCTACTTGTTGTGATGTTAGATATTGGGATCTAGAGAACCTGTTTTCTCCATTTTTTAAGGCATATCGCATCTCCTCAGCTACTTTTGATGGATCCTTTTTTCTTCCAGTTGTTTTCCCAATCATATATTTTTCATGCAAGTAAGCCTTTTGGTCTTGTGTGAAAATTGTTTTTGGTTTGTTCACTTTTAATGCCCATCCTTTGTTTAGTTTGTCAGTAGCAGTGTTGTTGTTGTTGGCAGGTTGTTTTGTAAATGACACTGCTAAATTCCAATCTTCCAATTTCTGAGCATATAAAACCTTTGTTCTTTCTGCAAGGCTAAGTTTTTCTTCCTTTATATTACAGTTACCCAACAAGATGTGTTTATCTAATGAGGATGAATGTTTAAAAGAACGTGTACATCCTTCCTCAGGACAAGTAAAGATTTTTGCTATTGTCCGTCACTTCTTAAGAACTGGCTCTGTAGTTGTTGTACCTTTATCATAATTATCATTTTGTGTATTTTCATCATTATTATCATTATCATCATTATTATCCTCTTCATCATCATCACCATCATCATCTTCTACAAAAAAATTAATAGAAAATTCAGTGTAAGTTTTGAGAAATATGATCATTTGCATATGATGGAAAGTCATCATGGAAAATATGAAAGAAATCCATCATAGTATAACATAAGAGTTGTCTATACAAGACCTTGTAAGTGTTGTGCCATAAAATGGTTGTGAAGGTGTGAGCTTTTGCTCCATGTTGAAGGCCTAACTCTGATACGAAGAACAACAATAAAAGCACTGTTCATTTGCTTTTTTTTTGTCATGTATGTAAATGGATTTTGTATCATGAATTTATACATTATATCTCTTCTTTTATAGTATCTTTTGAAACTAATTTCACAAAGAAAAACAAATTGTTACATATACACTGTTCTTTCAATCTGATAAAACATAACTACCTCTGTCAACAACTTCTGAACCCACTGTAGCAAGCTGGGAATGTATCACAGCAATTTTCTTATAATGCTGTTCCATGATATCAACTTTCCTAAAATGTAAAATATAAGCAAATATATTATTTCTTATAAATTAATTAAAAGGGATCTTGTATGGATGCTAATATCAATATACTGAAGTGCATATATATATGAACTGTGAATTACAACTGATTATTGTATAAATCGTGAAGATTCATGCATATAGCAAAGATTCTTTAGTTGTGAATTTCTAACAGATAAATGCTGAAGGTCAAATGACATAACCCTCAGTTTTTTTTTTATTTCTAGTCACCCGGAGTATCAAAAATAGATATTCTTTCTTCACTTATATTATTTATGCACACCATTTTGGTTATGATTTTGTAAATTTGGTCAAGAGATATCACATTGTAACAAGATACATGTACCATTACAGATTAACAAAATAACATTATGATGGGAGAGGCAACATATTGTCGTTCACTTAAACTATAATCTAGAAACAATTATGTGGGTAGCAGAAGTTGATACAGTTGAATATCATAGTAGAAGGAAACTTTCTTCCATTCTAAGGTTTAATGAAATATTTTTGAGAAATGTTAACAATGATATCCAAAGTGACTAAAATGGCTCTTCAAGCTACAGTTGAGCTGATAAATAAATCATAAAATTATATTACCTTGACCAATATCATAAGCTCTCCAAACTTGCAATCCATTATCGGTAAACTTAAAATTGTGTAGCATAGAAATCAATGGAATACTTCTCAGTGAGACCTTTTCATCATCAGCATTAATAACAGGACTTATAACTTTCACCCTGTACTGGCCTGAAAAAAATGATAAAAGAAATAAGATGATAATTTGGCATGCACTTGATAAATAATACATTTTTAGCAATGATGAAATTTGTCGGGACCCCACGACGGATGCCGTTGACGGAGCAGGAACTGCTTACCCTTTCGGAGCACCTGGGTTCACTCCTGATTTTTATAGGAGATCGTGTTGTCCATGTCTTTTAGTTTTCAATGTTTCTTGTGTTATTTTCTGTCGTGTGTTTGGGTTCCCGTGTACGTCTGTCCCTTCGACTTACGTCTTTGTTGATTGCTCCCTAGGTTTTTTTGTCATTATTTGTTAAGGAATCAAATTGAATGAAACTAACCTGTATTTTTTTTCACTTTTGTGTAAAAGAATTGTCTTAGCACATTTTGTATCAAAACACTTCCAAGATGAGATAATGAGATACTAGTACAAGTACATACGTATACTGTAATACATATGAGAAACTCATTGAAAACAAGTGTGGACACAGACCAGCATGGTAGTATCCAGCATTCTGAGAGTATTGCATGGCAATACATAGCCCCCTACCATTTAAAAATTCGAACTGTATGTGTAAATTGTCATGTTAAAACTATGGATACCAAATTTCAAATCAATATAACGGTAGTCATGACTAAAAAAAAATGCAGAAAATTGAATAATTGTGTGATTTTTCTAGGTCTAAGGATCATATAACTCTGCCAAATATCATCAGATCAGCAAAAAAATTTAAACTTGATCTGTAACTTGTAATGGTGAAACTATAAACCAAATATCAAATCGTAATCTTAAAGTAAGACAAAAAAATAGTGGAAAATGTATTTCTTGCATGAATTTTCTAAGTCCAAGGGCCATAAGTCTGCAAAAAATCATCATACCGGAACACAATTTGCACTATATCTGTAACTTGTAATGGTTTAACCAAATGCCAAATTTCAAGTTAATATCTAGAAGCATTAAAAAACAAAATGTTGAAAACCAATTATTTGATTGAATTTTTCAAGTCCAAGGCCCATAACTCTGCAAAAAATTATTAGACCGGAACAAAATTCAAACTTGATCTATAACTTGTTATGGTTAAACTATATGGCAGATATAAAGTCAATTCCTTCAAGCATGACGAAAACAAGTGCGGAAAACAGATTACTTATGTGATGGCTCTAAGTTCAAGGGCCATAACTCTGCAAAAAATCATCCGACCGGAACAAAATTAGAACTTAATCTGTAACTTGTCATGGTTATACCATATACCAAATATCAAACCAATTTCTTCAAGCATGACAAAAAAAAGTGTGGAAAGCTAATTTGCCGGACAGACGGACGGACAGAGTACAAACCTAAAGTCCCCTTCAACTTCGTTGGTAGGGGACTAAAAATTAAAAAGTTGAATAATTCAAGTTTTCTAGGATAATACTTTGACTATAATTGCATATCAAATATTCTTAAACTCATTGCCATCAATATAATTAACATACCAGTTTCATTTTGGTGTGCAGTTGTCACATTATTGCCCTCGTTTACATGTCTTTTAATTGCTGACTTGATATGGGATGCCTTCCTGTCACATGGGCCCTTCCCATCCTGAGCCTCACAAAAATTGTAGGATTTTATTTTCTTGCCTAGCTCTTGATGTAAAGTGGCTATGGTCAAGGTACTTTTGCAGCAACCAGCATTATCTGACCATATGTTGACCTTTTTGACAGATGAAATATTTTGAACCACATCGACAAGAATAGCTCCAGTTGTAGCTGCATCTTGAGGGGTGGGTTGTTCAAATATATGCACATGTGTAAGAAATTTCACACTTCCCTGTGTTTTTAACATAGTAACGGTGATGTGCCAATTAATGCCTCTCTTTCCAAACCAATCTGTCTGGCCCTCTCTAAATTTTCGCGGTAAAAATTTCATGGCCAAGTCAGCTACCATGAATGCCTCATTTTCCCCGAGACAGTTCACAACAGATTGTCTTGCCTTTTCTTAATTTTTTGATCGAAGGATATGACTCTTCCATTCATGAATATCGGCTATTGCTTTTTCCACCTGAAACAAAAAACTTTTTTGAACTTTTTTTTGTATATTAGAACAAAATACAATAAAACTTATGCTTATGTTCAAGTTCATATTCACCTCATTCTCACAATTATATCTAGAATTTAAGAAAACTAGTGAAATGTGAGATGTAGGTCAACTTTACATTTTTTGGAAGTATGTTGTCAGACTCTCGGTGATGCATCTCCTATACCAAGTCGCATACATGTTACTGTTATTCATTTAGTACTTGAGAAAAGAACTTGGATCTTTCTACATTGAAACCAAAAACAATGAGGAATGAAATTTGATAAAATGTTGTCTCTATCCAAAATGCATCTCCATACCAAATCACAGTATTCGTCACACAGTACCTTAGAAATGAACTAGGACAATAAAATTTTACCAGAATTTAAAAATACCTTAAAGATTACAGCTTCAGGATTATCCCAGTGTCTTTCAATTGCACTCTTCAAAATAAAAGATAATGTTTCATCAACAAAACAACACTGTTGGCATTCATCAGTATGTGAATGGTCATCACATTTTTGGCAGAAGGGTCCCTCTTCTTCACTCAAAGCATATGAACAACAGTGGTCTGCTATGGATGATGATCTATTTACATGTAGTTGGGAAAAAAAAACATAGTTGATTCAATCTTTGAAGTGGCTTCTGAGAAGATATATATATATATAGAATAATGGTTTTTTTGAAGGTCATATTCCTATAAACCCCCAAAAACTTTGTTTTGAGGGAGGGGGGTTAACGAAAGTACTGTATCAGACCCTTTTTGGCCCTTTTTCAGAAACAGGTGAAGCCAGAATCCCAATTTAAAAAATAGCCAAAGTAATATGCCAATAAAATGTGTAAACATTTCATAAGGCTCTGTAAATTACCCAAATTAGACACAAAACCATTGATTCTATGAATGGATAACAGACCCATAACCTTATAACAATGTACAACCACAAAATATTTTGAAGTCGTATGAAAAAGGGAATATAAAAACTAATAAAAACCTTAAAATCTGTTTTCAAGTAATACTTTGCTACCACCAAATTATCCAGTGTTTTCTTCTTTTTATCCAAGGTTAAATCAAACTGTTCTACAGTTTCTGTCAGATTAATTTACAAATAAAAAGCTAGAATGTTTACAAATGAAATTCATTAAAAAAATCATTCAAAGGGCAATAACAAAAATAGGGAATTTCCCAAATTTGAACTTGGCCAAGATATTCTCACTATAACGCTTGTTTATAAATTTGAAGTCAACCGGTTAAGAAATAAAAATTCTTGAGCGCTTACAAATCCGGACGGACAGACCCGGCATTTCCATATCCTCCGCATTGCACAGTGTGCGGGGAACAATAAAAGTTAGATTGAATAAACAGCTTTACGATCAGTATCAGAACCTTGTAGACACTCTAGACAATAATCACAGAGTGATCTCAAATGAACAAAATGATTAAACATGAAGTTAGTACATTGAAAGTTCTTGAATTCTTTTTTTCTTTAGCTCATAAGATAAAAATAGAGCATCTTTGCCATGACGACAAGGAGATGCTTCATCTTGTTGTGTTTGCTTTAATATAGATACGATACGTAGCCTCACTCACAGCATTGCGCTCGTCGGGGCTACGATACGGTCCTTTGCCTCGTAACGTAGCAAAACGAATTCACTATAACGTTCAACATATAGACATATTTTATATAAACCTGTTCAATAGAATCAATTCAAACATCATTTATCGAAAAAATGATGTCACTCGGTTATCAAATACCTTTCTTCAAGTTTTTTGAGACAAACTGTTGACATTTCCAAAGTTAGTCGAAGAAAGTCGGTCAACACGCTTGGGAATCTATAAAATGTTAATTTTTTGGTGTTTTTTTAGCTGATTTATTGAGGAAATATATATCCATGTTAAAAAAACGAGTTAAAGTGAACGACATTTCTTTAAATATTGCCATAAAACCCCAGTTGTGAATCACAACGGTGTGCTACATTATGAAACATGGGACCGTGACGTAGCCCCGACGAGCGTAAGGCTGTGAGTTGGGCTACGTTACCGTATCTAGCTTTAATACTGCAAATTTTGATAAAAATGAAATTTTCAATGATACCTACATGTACATTATAACCACTAGTAAGTCGATGAGGTCTGAGATTATACTGTTCTTCATATTGAAAGCTACATGTATCACCAAGGTTGTCACTGTTCATCAAACACTGTATAGAAAAAATGTTTACTTATATCAAATGATAACTGAGTCTTTAAAAACATAAACCACAGTAAGCTTATCCATTAACAGGCTATCCTGACTCTCTGTGATTTTTATGTTTGTTTTTGTTCATTATATGTGTACAATTTGTGAATAGTGGTTTGTTTTTCCTATTGTTGTATGGTCTGTCATTGTTGGCATGTCCTGTTATCTTCTTTGTATTAATTATTACATGTATAAAGGTAAACAAAAATAAAGTTAATTTTAATATCAAAGATTTTGGGTTAAATGTTTGTTAAAATAAGATGTGAAAATTTTGGACATATTTTATGGACCCCTCGTAGGCAAAATTCAAAAAATCTTATTTTGATGAGTTTATTTGTACTGAGAAAATGGGACAACACAATTTGCATAATGATATATATACAGTACATATATGACTTGAGGTTTTAAAGTACTTAATGAACTCACATATTCAATAATAATAATGTTAATATTTTGCATTTGCTTTGCGTGAATATTGATTGCAATTTGTACATAGTTTAAGATTTGAAGAAAAATTTGTAGAAGAAATTAATACTATGCCCTTCAAAATAACACACATAAATTTGAAGTATCGTCATTTTTTTCCTCAAGATGTATTACAAATGCTGAAATATACTGAATGTCAATAGAAAAACAACACCTATGTGTGTTTTGCATTGAATAAAAATTCACTGTGTCAGATCTTCTAACTAAATTTGCTCAGTTCAAAATTGAGAGAAAACTAACCAAACCAAAATTTTGTTAAACTTCAATTTAATATCTAACAAATATTTTAATATTTTTTTAGCAAAAAATAAATTGGGAGGATCAAAATATTTTCTTTTGGTATTCAGACTTTCAGTAAATTATTTTAATAATGTATCATGATGTTTGATATACCCCTTTATACGACATTCGGACTGATAAAATTAAGCCCATTAACAGATAGAGATACCATACATGTACATTGACTCTGAATAAAATAAGAACATGTACTAGCATTATAACTTACATTTTTATTTGAAAAATTTTCAGCCAGGCTACACAAATTGGATTGCCTACAATAAAGGGTCTTTCTGCATATTGGACATATTGCTGAAACATACAGTTCAAATTAATTTTTTATAAAGATACATTTTTAATACATGCCGATACATTTGTACCGATAAAATAAGTATTAATAACTTTCTCTTACATTCAAAACCATTTATTTCCAACTCACTTACCATCTTACTTCTGTTATACTAAAATTTTGTTATCAAATCATTAATGCAAATTTGAAGTAGAATTATCCAGGAATAATAGAAAATAACTATCATTCATAGTTTCCAAAATATTTTGTAGTTTCTGCTTTTAAAATGAAAGTAAAGTGTAATGTTCATTGTTTTTGGGGGAATTCTTTTTGATAAGAATATATAAATTATTTTATCAGTAAAAATAAAAAATAGAATAAATGAACAAAATATACTTCTTTTTGTTACATGTAACAACTCTTAACATTTTTCAGACCTTGATTGTCTTGTTTTATATGTCTCTTTCATTTTTGATGATTTTTTTATGTACATGTACATAAGTTTTTAATATGAATAAAAACAGGTCCAAGAGCCAACCCCCCCCCCCCCTCCCCTCTTAGTAAATAGATGTTTGCCCCATAAGAGAAAAAATGAAGTTTAGAGTACACTTAAATATTTTGAAATAAAAACCTGTCAGTTTTTGCTGAACTTATTTTGTACCGTTGTCGTTGACAGGTTGTGCTGCATGTCTTTGAAGTGAAATTCTGTTCCAACCAATGCACTGATTGGTGCTAACATTTATTTCACATAGCACACAATAAGTACGAGGGGTAAAAGACAAATATTTTCAATTTTCAGACGGCGTTCTTGTTTACTTTCTGCAAACATCAGTAATATTTTGGGTAGGGGAAATAAATGAATAAAATCATGCAATGTAAGTGCGTTTTTTCCTTTTTGGATAACTTTAGAAAGATTTCAGCCATTTATGCAATAACCTGACCGTTCCTCGTAAATTTTATAATAGTTGTCACTTATTTTGAATATGAATGACATTTTGATTTAATCCATAATGATCCAGTATTGATGCCTCGTTTCGTAATGCATGGCTGTGATTCCGTAATGCCCAGTTGTTGAAATTTTATGTTTATAAAACATGGGCATTTCTATACATATTGTAGTAAGTTGGTTAATAAATATAAATAAAAAAATATGTGATGCTCTGTTATAAAAAAACATTAATTTTTATTATTATACTTACGAGTTCCACCTGGAAATATTATTCCTGTTCTAGCATGAATCTCTCTCACATTTTCCAAAGATACATTTCTGTCTGCCTTTACCCCATACCATCCTCCATATATTTTATTGTCTTTGTAATGAGACGAAATTATATCAGGTATCCCACATATTTTAGATTTACATCCTGCTTTGTTTTGATTCAAAAACCTGTGAAAATGTTCACTGCACACTTGAAACTTCTGTGTAATATCACTTCGCAGTAGACCAGCCTCAGTAAGAATAATGGACTGCAATGCTGATGACAAAGAAGTCAGTGTGGTATTTTCACCTGCGCATTCACATATCTGTGAGCTTTTAAAGCTACAAAGGGACATGGTTATTTACTGACCATAATGTTTTAACACCCTGTTGATCACTGATCACTGTTGTCTGCAAATTTTTTCCATTTGTGTATAATTCCTGTGTACACCATGTGTGCTTTTATATCAGAATAGTTCTGTCAGAGGAGATAACTCTATATTCTCAATAATGAATAATGAATATTTTCTTGATACTTTTCTTAAGGAAATGCTTGAATATCCCATTCAATTTACAAGTTTATTTGGTTATTTATATGGTATAGATTATATTGAAGTCACATTATACTTTGAAGTTAGTGTGGAAAGGAATGAAAACATCCACAGATTTTAAGGATATATGGACCACTAAATTCTTTAAAAAGTAGAAAACCTTGATAAATCTGCATATTGGCCAATTAAATCTTTTGACAAATTAAAATAAGCTTGAAGAAAATTTTTCATGACATTAAGCAGTCTACAAACAAAAATTTAACAAGATTTTAATTACCTTTATTTTTATCTGAAAAGTCATGTTTCCATGGCAACAACAGGGTGACACATTATGATTATGGAGTGACAAATATTTTTGTTTTGAAAATTGAAACATAAAATGTATTAAGGTCAAATTTGGTGAAATTCTGTATCATATGATGGCCAGCTCATTTTTATATTTACAGAGAATTGATATTAATAACGATAAAGGTACCAATTTCACTGTATAATATGCATCTTTCAGCGAATAATTTCTCTTTGGTGATAGTCGAGGGCAAAATATTTGAAATTCCAAAACTTTATAAAACATTGAAGAGCTGATCATAAGTATAGCCAAATGTGTACAAGGAGCTTTATATGAGAAAGAGATATTCCTTAATTCGAATTGATTTATAAAATTTTATAACTGTTACAGCAAATTTCAATTTATTATGATTCAAAAGCTCACACCTCACTGTTTAAATTTAGAATGATCGTAGCATCCTTTTATTCGCTTTTTTCATACGCGTCACACATTGGAATGCATATGCTCCCATATTCTTGAAGAAAATCCACTCTCCTCTTTTTAAGTCCGATAGTTTGATGTTTTCTATAATTAAATCTACAGCATCACACGTCGGTCCCCTTATAGTGATATCATATACCTTTTCGTCGTCGTCCTGAAAAGAAATAAATCTTTATTCATATCCACCTGCCCTTAATTCTTCGATTCGCTTGAAATGATATCTCCAAAAAGACACAACACATCCTGAACTATTACAAATAGACTACACATTTTCTAGAAAAAGGTTAAAAATGTAGATATGAAACTATGCCTGACGTCTTGTTTAAATTTTGAAATGATGTTCATATTGGAAGCACGTACAAAGTGTATAGTAAGATAGCCGTATACTCGATGCATTTATGAATAAAGCATCAACAAGCGTCTATAATCCAACCAAATATTCGAAGGAATAGTATATGCTTGTATCTGGCATTTGATACAACAAATGAATTGATAGTGCAAACAGTGTGACAAGACCTTATGGTCACAACAAATAATGCCACAAATGCTAATGACATAACGAAGCTTAATTTCCTCAATCTTATATTCATTAAAAATCCGCTTGAACCTGAAACTTGTCGTTTAACACACATCTGTAACGGATACATACTGTTGTGAAACACCTGACTCGCGTGACTTTATATTGTTACGCATGACCATTGTGTCAAGTTATATGCCTGACTTATCTAATATTAGTTCTTAATACTACAGACGTGTATATTTTATTACTAAATTATGTAATATGGATTGTGGCGGTGAATATTCTGGATAATACATGCATGTAAAGGTAATTGTATGCAGTATCACTGACATTTAATTTGAACAAAATAAAATCTTTGATTGTAGTTATATTTTCCACATGATGATTTGAGAGTTTAACCACAACAAAAACAAATTCAAGTGGAGAGATCTATAGCAATAAAAATATATTACCTTTCACCAATTACGGTTAATTGCAGTGTCTTTGCAAATTGAAGCAGCTGTGATGCTTTCAAAGGATGACATCCGAACTTTTCTTTTTAAAGGATGTTTTACCTTGTGATTTTATTGTGGACATATTCGTAATATCAGTCTTTAAATCATGAAATAAACATGTTAGATAACAGTGACATAAAATGCCAAGTTTACAAAATTAATATACCAAGTCATTGCAAACATCAGGTATAACACAGCGGGAGAACAAGAACCCTACACCTTGTACCTTTTTATATTAGAAATATAACTTATATCTATGTGATGTGTTCTACCAAATTATTTTAGTAATTAATTGAATAAAGGGGATGTTGGGTATATATCAATGAGACATCATTCCTGCATTTTTTCATTTGTGTATACCCATTTCGAATGTTTGAGATTTCTTGGAATAAATTTTGTAATTGCTGAAACTAATTTGATCATGAACGTTCTAATATAGCTAGAAAGTGTTGACCAGTTGGAGAAACAAGAAATTCTAGTCAATAGCAACGAGACGATTGTTACCAAACAAAATATGGGATGTGTCATTTTTATATCATATATCACTCACGTTTATTGATTTTTTGAAGTATCATCAATGTATACTATTTTTGATAATAATGGTCACGAACAGGTTGACAGTTTCATAGCATGAAGCTTCTCTATCTTATTTCTCCTAGAACAGAGGAATTGGTCCTCTTTTTTTTACGATTTTAACTGTATTTACCAGTCAGAACAAAATATAAGTCATTTCGGTAAAGTAGTTTGCATCATGACATTGTATAAAATTATAATTCTGATACGTTTTTATAAAATAATTTTTATCAGATACGTCTCAGAAAAACAAAGTAGAAAGGCGAATTCACAAGCAGCAGAGCAAAAATACCTTAACAGAACAGCAATAATCGTTAGATGTCTACTTTGCCTGAGGGATGTATAACGTTTGTTTCAGTATAGTTACACAATCAAAGAGCATCAGTCAAATCAAGTAAATAGTGAAGCACTGTCTACTAAGCAGATGATTTCAGTGCAGATTGACAGTCTATTAGCAGTGGCATAGACCCTATGGCAGTAACTTGTCAGCTATGGTCGCGACTGACAGTATTTTAATCAAAATCAATACAATATTTGAGACCATCATAATCAAAAGGACATTGACTCCACAATGAATATAAATGTATAACATCAAGTTTATGCCTTAATACTTTGCGGCATGATATACTTCTTTGATCTTTTCTAGTTCATCCTCACAATCAAATGCAATCATAGCTACGTCATTATCAGAGGCATATCTAAAAAATGATAACTGCTTATATGGGTTGGCATAGATTATTCTGGTCGGATCAACCCAACATCCAGAATTTTCTGTATTTCAATCTAAAGAGAAAACAAGTATCTTAAAAAAGATTATCGCTTCATAAATTAATCAATTATCCCTAAAGGTGTATGTTTTTAGCAGGAAATCAACAGGTTAAAACTCAGGGAATAAAAGCTAGCAGTAAATATGTGAAAAAAAAACCAGTACTACATACGTCTTCATTGCATAATGTTACTTTCATGCGATATGTAGAGAAAACTAGTCAGCTTGTGACATAATATGACATGACCACATACGAATCGAACTGTTTTTTTTTACACCATATTTTTTTCAATCACAAAGTTATTTTATGTCATACGTTTTTTCTTTCTATTTCATTTACTACACCAATAACAAAGCGTCAATATTTATGAGCAAATATTGTAGGATTTTTTACAATGATACAACAGCTTTCCTATACAAATTTGACTTCTAAGCATATAAATTGAGTAAAGAGAATCGACGTTGGTGTTATTTTTCATTTGTAAGATCATCAATGATACCAGCTTTATTTTTCAGAACGCCAGACGCGTGCGTTTCGTCTACATAACACTCATCAGTGATGATCTAATCAAACAGGTTATAAGGCCTTGGCTATTTTCTAGACCTTTTGTTAAAAGCAAGAAGTTACCAGGGGCATTAAAATTTATAAAGTCGAAGAACAGACAACACCATTGTAATAGGAGTAGACGACAAAGATACATAATAGCTTCCGAAAATATATAATTAACATACATCTTACTTTATACCCAGGTGTAATCAGTTTTTGCTCTTTGTTCAGTTGTTGCACCCTTGGTGTAATAACAAGTAAATTATCTTATGACAAGTATTTTCTAATGACACATCATAACCAAAAAGAATGACAGTATTTTGTCAACAGCAAATGGAAAAGGAAAAAAAAGGATATGTCAATGGGGTAATCACACAAATCATATCGAATAAATACAGAAAACACTAAGGTCAAAAAGAAAAAAAACACTAGCGAAAAAACAACGAAAAAAAGCAAAACATTAGAAAAAAATTTAATTTTGAGCAAACATGAACCCCATCAGTAGCTGATCCTGAAGGTGAAGAAATTTATGTTTCACACGTGACACCCATATTCTTGCTCATGCATGTCAAAATCCGCTTTTAAGTTCAATTCGGTTATTTCACAATCAATGAAGAGAAGAAGGGATTTCGGTTATGACAAGTAAAACATATTATATTCAATAACGGTCAACCAAAATGAGCAAAATGAAATCCAAATATTATCTATAGCCCAACAAATATATGAAATGTGGTTTTATCATCAAATTGGATTGATTGTGACACCTTTTTTTTATTTCAATCTCGTTTACTTTCCTTGTCATGCATCTTCAAATATATTGCATCATATTAAAAAAAAGTACAATGTAAAGTTCACTGCAAATGTACATTTAATTTTGTGATGGCACTAACAGAGTGCAGTTTTTGAAGAAAAAAATGTATAATAACATATATAGGAAAATAGCAACATGCAAGTCTAAGCCCATCTTTGTATCGTAATAGAAAAGTATGTTTTTCATATCGTTAATTATTTGTCGTGTACCTATAGATGATAAGTCATTTGTAATCATTTAATATTCACTACGGTTTTTAAAACTATTATATCACCTTGCTTGCACAATCAAAGGACAGCCCCATGTCTGCCATTAGCCTCAGCACAGGATAAGAATCATCACATTTCACTGCTGTAAAGCAAAAATAAAAACAGTAACTTATGGACTTACAAAAGAGAGGCGAAATATACCAAAAGGACACTCAAACTCATAAGTAGAAGATAAACTGACAAAGCCATGGCTAGAAAAATAAAAAGACTAACAGACAAACAACAGTACACAAGATACAACATAGAAAACTAAAAACTGAGCAACACGAATCCAACCAAAAACTGGGGGTGATATCAGGTGCTCCGGATGGATAAGCAGATCCTGCTCCACATGTGGCACCCGTCGTGTTGCTCATGTTAGGTTATCATAATGTTTTATACAGTGACTTTTGTGTTTGTGTACTAGTGCTTTAACTGTTATTTCATGTTGCTCAGTCTTTAGTTTTCTATGTTGTGTTTTATGTACTGTTGTTTGTCTTTTCGTCGTTCTTCTTTTTGTCAGTTTGTTTACGACTTATGAGTTTGAATGTCCCTTGGTATCTTTTGCTCTCTTTTGCAATGATTATCAACTACTAGTTATGATCATACGCAGTATGTGGGATAACTTATCATTACATCTGATAACTTAAAATTGCCATGATAATGAGAGAAATAACTGGCATTTATAATATTATCAAAGGTATCATGGTTTAGTTCAGTGGTTGTCGTTGGTTCATGCCTGTCATATTTGTTTTTCGTAAATTGTTTTGTTATAAATTAGGCCGTTAGTGTTCTCAATTGAATTGTTTAAAATTTATAATGTCGGGGTCTTTTATAGCCGACTAAACGGTATGGGTTGTTCACATTATTGACGGCCGTACGGTTGCCTATAATTGCTTACATACACTTCTTTTGAATTTTGGTGGATAGTTATCTCATTGGCAATCATATCATGTCTCCTTATTTTTATATTAGTGCAAGCGCCACTATTGAGTCTTATGAAGACGAAACGCACGTCTTGCGTACAAAATTATAAACCTGGTATCTTTGATGAGATTCTACAACCACTAGGTAGATGCCACTGCTGGTAGAGTTTCGTCCTCGATGATATCATCAGTAGTCAGTATTTTGTTGATATGACATATACTTGATACATTAATTTTCTGTAAATTTACTTATTACAAATTGTTATAGTCTTTGATACGTATACGCAATAGAATAGGAATACTGAAATTATCGTGTTTGTCATAAATCCTATTTATCAGTTGTAGAATAGCATCGTTTTCAAGAAAATGTTCTTGATAAGACGAGACCTTTTTGTCTCTTGATTTATCTATATGACAAGTTGGCAGCGTTACACATTATCATTCAGTCGACACCAAATCAGTTTTTGTGCGTTATACAGTTATGAACTGTCACTGAAAGGCTCCTTTTTATGACTCGAAACTGATTTTTGAAGCACAGAAAACATTATCATCTATAAATATTTACCATAGAATGGTACAACTGTCGGAAAGCATTTCTTCCAAATCTTATGTTTTCTAATAATATCTCCTAGATCGCCAAAAAAGAAGGGATTCTCCTATCAAATATTTAAATTGATATCTAATTTCGTAGCTAGTGTTTGAAATATCATGTTGGTAAACAACCACTACAAAGATTGAGTATACTAGCTACTCTTGTTTTTGAATGCTCTGTCCTATGTGTATATAATGTTGTTGGCGAGGTGTCAGTGATAACACTCAACGCAGACATAAGTGTCACGTGTTTACTTTTTTTTCTGAGTCAACGTATTGTTTTTATTATATAAAAATGATGTAAAAATAAAATCTTTAATACCTTCATAAGGCATAAGCTAGAACAGATGGAAAGTTTCCATGAAGGGTTTTGAAGTTGACAATACGAAATCTGAAAACATGGCTTGAGTCATATTTTCTAGTTTTTTTTAATTACGATCAGCATCAATTTAAAAAAAAAGGTATAGATACACAGAACCCCTAATCAGTAGTTTGGTTAGAAGTTCAACTTCGGCGCTAAAACTTGGAACAAACTTCTTAAACCAGTTTAACAAGCCTAGAGTACGACGATGTTCGCGTACAGAACGAGGTGAAGGAGTTTACTGAATTGCAGTAATTCTATCGGGCGGAGGCTTAATCCATCTTTAGAGATCAGATGTCCTAGAAATAAACAAGGTTTTTGTGCAAAATGACATTTTCTCGGGCCTAATTTTAGACCGGCGGCTTGAGCGATTAAATACCTCGCGCAAATCATCACTAATGTGTTGATCAAAAGTTTCCGATGTTATAAGAACATCATCTAAATAGCAAAAACTAGAATTAAACGTTAAACCATGGAGCACTCTGTTCATTAAAAATTGAAATGATCCTGGCAATGAACTCAAACCCATCGGTAACTGGAGGAATTTATACGTTCCGTAGCAAGTATTAAAAGCAGTATAACGCTGACTTTCTGAATGTATAGGCATTTGAAAAAAATCCTGAACTCAAATCAATATGTGTTATAAAATTCGGTGTTCTGTTTGAGAAAGACTCCGTTAAATCCTGCAATTCCGGAAGTCCATACAAAAAATGCTGAGTTTTGGAATTCAAATAGCGAAAATCGCAACAAAATCTGAACTGTGAGAAACTTTTTGAAGATTGAGAATCACTTTTATTATGTTGAGTGTTTTGATTTCGTTTCGAAACTAACACAATGGGATTTGTGATAGGTATATCCGACCGGGGCAATTATTAGATTCCCTGTTTAGCAAATGATCTAAATGATCCCGAAGTACTTGTTTTTTTATCTGGAGTAAGACGATACGAACGTTGATATTTTGGCTTAAAATCTGGCTTCAGTATAATCTTGTGCTGCACAACATCGATAAAACCTAAATAAGGGTTTTCATCAGTCACAAATATATTTTCGTGTGATTTTTTGAAATTCTTTTAATCGTACTTATTCTAAATAAGATAAATACGTTGGGATATCAAAATATGACAAAACTTTTGTTCCCTTTTCGGCCTCCTAACATTGGCTCCTCTTTCAAGTTCTTCGGAAATCTTTTCGGTTTGAAATTAAAAGTTATTCACGTCACTTTTTCCATCATTTTGAATCGTTGTAACATTAAAATCTTTGTCCAGTATCTCAAATTGTGCTAAAATTGTTCCCCTTGAGATGACAACAGTCTCACTTGACGGGTTAAATATTTTGACGGGTACCAGCTGGTCCTTATTTACAGAAACTACTGATTTCGCTGTGACAGCACCCAATTTTAATAAATAATTGTGACTCGTGCAGATCACTTGCACACCATGTAAAATATTACCACGAACTTTGCCCCATACTATCATCTCAGAATTCGGCAAAATAGATGAACGCTTTTGGTTTTTCACTTCACTAAATAGAGAAGAGACAGATTAGTTAGAAAAATCCAACACTATTTTCTTTGAAAACAAATAGTCTGTTCCTAATAATAAAGGATGTGTTGTTTGCAAAAATATATGTACTAAAACCCAATGTTTTCCTTGTGGTATTTGAATTTTTATCCGCCAAACACCAACAATGTTTACAGACTTGTCATTTGCTAAAACTATTGTCTCACAAGTTGAATTAACCCACGACTTGTGTGTTTCTGGTATGGAATTGAAAAGTTGTTGTGAAATTACATTTAGTTATTGAGCTTACCGTATCTATGAGAGCAGCTATTTTTTAAATTAGTAATTTGTACTGGCAAATAAAATTAATTTGTTTCTGTTTTCTGTAATTGATACAGAATTATCATATTCATCATCAGAAGTTGGAAAAGTGTTAGATTGTATAGTGCTAGTAACTGATCTAGAAGGAGAGCGACTACGCTCGCCTGGCACCTAGTATCGCTGTCCTCTCGATGAGCCGTGCCTAGTGTCCCCCGAGATTGTTCGGTTTTCCGAAAATTTTATACAACTAACCGCTGAATGACCAATTTGATCGCACAGCTGACATTTAACATCTAAACTAATAATTCCTTGACAATATGATCTGCAGATCTACGATTGAAACGTAGATTACTCGAGGCATGGGAGGGGTCAGTTGTAAAAAAAATCGGTCAGTAAGTCTGTTTTGTTGCGCATTTTCCTTTCAACATGTTGAACTAGTTAAAGTTAAATCTTGGACCACCTTAGTGAGAGTATCTATCTGTGATTGTAATGCTGCAAAGTCAGAGGTGTGTTTGTCATTGGATTTTGGGTGCTTACTAGCCGCAGCAACCTGTAATTCCGCCTTCCTGTATCCATACGCTTCGCTCATTTTAGCCGCTGCTAATGCAGACGGATTGTCTCTATGGTTTCCTGCCCTTACAAAGAACGCTAATTGTTCGGGTAACCCTTTTATAAATTTAACTAAAATTTCATGATCTAGTTTTTTTTCAAAATATTAGCTTTTTCAACAAGCTGACAATAAAAATCGTCAATAGACTGATCTGACGACAACAGCAAGTTTTCAAAAATTTCACTGTCTAGCATTACAGTCAGTACAAGTCAACATATTTAGTTTAGACTGTCCCATGGCGATGTGTTCCGACGAAAGCGCATTAAACCAGTTTAGTGCCAGTCCACTCAATTGCAAATGTAATGCCACAATTTTGCGATTATCGTCTGATGGTGAAATGTTATGAAGGGTTGCATAAGACTCAAATTCCGATATAAATATTGCCGCAGTTTCATGAGGATAGCCTTAAAATTTCAGACAGTTCACTAATTTCTCCATTTGTTCGTTATTAGCAGTAATTGAATAAGTAGGCAAAACTAGTTTTGGGGATGGAGTAAGTAAGTAGGTAATATCAGGTTCACGTAGCTGATTGAGCGACAAAAATTTATCCTGACAAACAAGAACCTGGGTTATCAGTTTCTAGAGAATGTTCGGAATACTGAGACAAAGGTGATATAGAAATTGGTAAAAGCAGTAGATTTCACTGTCGTACTCGTTGTCGAAAAAGTTTACAGATACTGGATTGGAAGTCATTTACAAGTTTATGCTACCCAAACTTAAGAATTTACACGTACATGTAGCGAGTTTATTCTCACATACCTGAAGAAAGATGCACCAGCCCATTTATAAATAGACA